CTTGTCACCTTGTACTTGATGATGGTATTGGTACTTGAAATACGACACTTGTATTTGCTATTGTGATGTGTTCAAAGGTTCATTCTATCTATGCCGTGGTGTATAAACCAATCGACGTCAATAAGGGTTTTGACGAGCATGGGTACGAGAGCGAGTATTCAATCTTGTCATGGCTCTTGTAATCCTGCAGGGTGCAACAGGCTTGAGGTTACAAGTTTGCTTTTGTGTTCGGGGTCTTGGGTTTTGAATGTGGGTGATGGTATTGTTCGTATTGGTAAAAGCATCGTTGTCATCTTGGTCGCATTCCTCAATAGCAGGGCTATTATCTTTTTTTGTATGGCAGTGTATTAGTATTGCACGTTGATCACCATAATCATGTAATAGTACCGGCAAGCGAATCCTTGAGCTTCTTGTCATTGAGTACAACAGCCTCCTTCACTGTTAGTTGCGTAGTCGCATCATTCACCAAAGCATGATCCACGCCTTGGAGCTCATGAAAGGTTATCCCAGCAAAATTTCGCATCTCACGGCCATGAAATGAACGTGTTATCGCACCATGAGCACAACAAACTTTGTAACGGGGATAGTCACCTTGCCCAAAGGATACCTTGTATATAATCGCAGGAAGGAAACGTGCACCATTTTTCAATTGGTGAACCTTTTCAATTGGCACGCCAACGATATCGCCAACCTTGTAATCAGGTACCTTGTCTGCCATCTTGTTCAACCTTTTTTTACATTAAATCAGCAAACCATGATACTGATGCAATAATAAACACATACCAGTTTTGGATGTTTGAACGCTTTTGTCATAATGCACCCCAGCAGCTTCGCGTATGGCTAAATGCCGATTGCGGAAATCGTGTTCAGATCCAAAACTTGCAGCTGTCCCATCATCGGCTTCAATATGGCGTTGGGTATCGGATTCACTTTCACATTCAGGATTGGTATCCGAATCGCTTTCAACATTAGTGCCTTGGTTACTTTCCGTATCATTCCCAGTGCAATAACCATAACCATCTTGACTCGAGCTGTCACCATTGCCATTCATCAATTCTTCACTGCTGGTGTCATCCGAGTCATCAGCGTAGGCGTCGCTTGTGCTATCGCCATGAGGCGAGGGAGGCATTGCAGCATACTCATCATCGTATACAATGTCAACATAGTCTTCAGCATCACTTGCCAATGGATCTAGCCTTGACGTTTTAGTGATACGTTAAGAGAGAGCAACAAAATACAAGTCAACATACCTTTAGTGCTTTGAGGGATATTCATGTCGATTACAAAGTCGTCATAAATGGTTGGGTCATCCTTCGAGGTCATGTACAGTATGGCAATGTGTGCATATCTATAATCCAATGATTATATATTTTGAATGCATGAATTAGTTCCAAGTCAACGCACATTGCCATTAAAAACAAACCTTGTACTTCATTATCGCTCTCATAATCAAAGCCATTCCAATCCGAATACGCATCGCTTGCATCCTCGCTCATTTCTTTACCATGATCATCCTCAATAGTGATGAGATTTGCATCATCCATATGCTTGTCACCATTGTCGTCTGGTAGAGTTTCGTGCTCATCCTCAACAATGATGGGACTTGCATCATCCACATAGGTATCCCGGTCATCACCTGTTTCGCATTCTTGGTCATGTAGCATAGTGATGGGACTTGCAGCATCCATTTCGATATCGCTAGCATCACCTGAACGACATTCTTCGTCATTCGTGCACTCCCCATCGCATGCATCATCATCATTGTCAATAGCATGAACAGTTCCTTGGTCGCCGGTAGCATCGTTTTCATCGTCATTGGGCATGCTGATGTCCGATTCATGGCATTCAGTATCGCCTTGCGTAACATCCACATCATTTGGATCTTGGGAGTGTTGTACTATGGATGGACCATGAGGGTGGGGGTCTTGGCCATAAACCGTGCGGTAAGGTGTGGTCTTGATAGGTCTTGAAAATGTGATGTTGATACCGTATACGACTTGAGAAAGGCCTTCGGTCCAATGAACATCATTGCCATCTTGTCGTTGATCTTGCACCCAAGCTGACAATTTCTTCTTAAGTGTCCGGTTAGCACGTTCGATAAGGCCTTGAGTTTCAGGATGACGAGGGGAGCCATAGATCAAGGTGGTTGGCCACTTGCTTTGGAGATCCGTCAACTACGCATTTTTAGGTTTCATTGTTGTATAACTAAAATATCCGCCTTACCATCTTAACATCCTTAAATTCACCACCATTGTCACTCTGCAATTCCTTGGGTGGTCCAACCTGGCAAAATAGTTCATGCAATCGTTCACCAACATGGTAAGCCTCTTTCGATGGAAGTGGATACGCCCACCCATACTTGGTGCGGTGGTCTTTCACATGCAAAATATAACGCATTTCACCTGTTGGTGTACGAGATCCACCGTAATCAATTAAATCCATCTTTGAAAAAAAAGCGAACATTGTTAATCTTTGGCCTTGTGCGATTGTAGTTGCTATAGCTACCTGAAGTCTGGTCATAAAAGCATCAGCATGAAGGGCTTTTCCAGCAGTCTTAACCTCATTTCCTGGTACGGACATTGCACAGGTGCTGCAATGGTTAAGCACAAGGTTGATAAATCTCGTAGGGCAATACAGGTACTCATTGAGCTATGCATTGTTTTAAGAATCAATTAAACGTCCATTTAAAGTACGGTGTTCAGCGCTGAGCGTATTACTTGCCTTATAACGCATGGCATCACGGCGACCATGACCCACTGTTTCATGGGCATCAGTGATGATGTCGTATAAATGCTCCTTGATAGCAATGGTCTTATTTGCATTGTTGGTGCCATCATCCTTGCGAACAATAAACGACTCGCCACTTGGCAATGTCTTCAACACAAAGGCTTTACGAGTCCACCAAGAAAAATTGCGGTCGTAACGATGTTCAAGAGATTCACCCTAGCAATATGGAATTGAAGTTATAATTGCAAGCAGTGCGTGTCACTTCCTCTACCTTAAGAACTCTTTTCATGTCGTCATACATATCCTTGCTGATGAAAGTCTTATCGTGGGCCTTCGGTTTGTTGGTCTTGGCGATGGTCTTGCTGTCGCTTGACTTGGGGTTGGCGATGTATTGCTCCATGAGCCGTCCAAATGTTGCCTTGGATAACCAATTACGTTCTCGGCCGAAGAAAATCGATTGCTCGTTGCTGGTCATTTGCAAAAATATGATGAAAGTAAAAGAGACAGGTTGCTTGGTTACCACCCGTTGCTATGGATTTATGTTCAATCGGAGCACAGTAGCTTAATTATATCATAACGCTAGTGCTGAGTTGTATTTGAATACCGATTAGCCTTATCCTTTTATGGCGTTTAAGATGACAAATGCACCCATCCTTTATCACCTCGCAGTAATCAATAGTAAAACAAGATAGCGATTCTTTTTAAGCGGGTGGTAAACGATATCAGGTGTCATGTATTACTTTATTTCATCTATTCGATGCCATAACCACTATAGGTAAGCCAAGTAGGTAAGCTAACAACATAATTGCACAAGTATAATTGAACCCTAAAAGGGACTCAACAACGATGCTCCGATCGACGCCGACAACGCCATATGCCTGTATATGGGTGTTGCACTCATCCATGCACTTGGGTAATGTCGTCGTGTAATGCGAATGTGTGTCCTCGAATTGTACTAGTACAGTTTTGAATCCTCGAATTGCAGCCGTACAATTCAAGGATTTAGCCGTACAATATTGTGTCCTTGAATTGTACGGATCCTCGAATTGTACGCCAACACTGCTGTCATCTTTGACACCTCTCCATCACATCATCTTCTTACACTTTTCCCAATACACCCTTAGAATAGAAACACCCTTGAATCAATTGTATCTCTCCACTTTGTATCATTGTTAGATTAGAAACTTCCCCACATTGTTGTATCTCCCACCATTGTATCCATTTTTAATCCTGCACCAATAATGTTCAACGTCTTTTCGTTATTTCCTTTTTACTTTTTCATGCAACAGCTGTGTCAACATCCATTGTGCATTACTGCGGCAATCACATGAAGGATCGAGCATGCGTTGTTTCCATGCGAACGTTCTAAGGATTAGACGTCAAAAGATATATAAACCCCCAGAATGAAATGAGTAAACCAGCAGCTTAGCTCACAATTTATCTTGACTGAATCTCTGTTACTAGCCCTCGCAAGCCAAAAGCGCTGCCAGAGGCACATTTATCTTTGAATCTTCAACCTGAATCTTACTTTTGCCTACATCGGCCCTCTCATCACCCAACAAACTTGGTGATTCATTCATCTTTACATCACTTCTAGCCAACCTCGGCACTTTTGACTTTTTGCTTCCCCAACCTATTCACCCCCTTTTCAATTACACATCTTCCTTTTGCCTAAACTCGGCAACAACCTACACATTCCACCTCTCTCCTCCCCACCTTTACTACATCTTCTTTGATACTTTTAGACAAAGTATCTGGTGCTCACTATCCAATCTCCTTGTAACCACGCTGTACACGCATTGAGATTACCCAATAAACCATCCAAATCAAACCCTGCTCCTACAAGTGGTGCTCAATCTAAAGTCCACTCACAAAACCCAACTTTCAAATCCCTATACAAAACCTTGCCCTTACAGAGTATAAAAAGGGATTATTTACTTAAATGCTCCCATGTCCATTTACTTTTTTATTTCACTCACTCAACTATGTCCAGAATCCCATCCATTCCACTTCTGTCGCATACTCATAGCATGCCAAACCTTTGGACCTTTTGGGAGCATGTCCAGAGCACTGATGCAGCTAGCAGGTAATAGGCAATATTTATTAAGATTATCTTGATGCTAATGTACATGGTTACTAGGTACCTCTTTGATCAAGCGGTTTTCTATACTGAAGAATCTGGTTATGTCGTTGAATGCCGTAATGGAACCCCAATGCGTCTTGGTCCTTCTGGTGCTCGTGGTCTGGTTTGGCGCTGTCCTCTTCGTAATTGTTGCAACCGTAGCCCAAAAACTACACGTTTGGATTCTTTCTTTTATAGATTGAAGGCTCCATTAGAGCGTGTACTTATGGTGATTTACCTTTTCATGGCGCGTACACATATGACCCAGCTGGATATGATGACTGGCTTGAACGCTCGGACATTGCGTACCATTGTACAAGGCCTCTACTATGTCATGGAGCAAGACCTAACTATGGATGACGTAAAAGTTGGTATGTAAAGGCAATGTGGGTATAGTATGCATTATGTTAATTAGTAGCATTATAGGTGGAAAGGATCCCGAGACCGATGAACGAATTATCGTGGAGATCGATGAAAGCAAGTTTGGGAAACGTAAGGATAACCGTGGTCATCCCCTTGATGGCGTTTGGGTCGTAGGCGGTGTTGAACGCACACCGCAACGCAAGGCATTCATGATGGTGGTTCAAGATCGCAGTGCTCACACATCGCAGGAGATTGTCAAGCGATTCGTGTTGAAAGACTCCCACATCAACACCGATTGCTGGTCAGGATACAATCGTCTTGATGAAATACCTGATATGAATTATGTTCATTTTCCTGTTAACCATTCGGAAAACTTTGTTGACCAAGTGCATGGTACCCATACAAACACGATTGAAGGTATGTTACTTGGTTGTTCTTGTAATTGTTTCTTCTAGCCAAAGGCTTCTTCTAGGTACTTGGAATGGTATCAAGCAAAATGTCACTGCGCGACATTGCACAAAGAAGATGATGCCTTGGAAACTGGTCGAATTCATTTCGAGGCGCAAGCACGATGACGACTGGTGGGGTGGTATCATGAAAGCGTTAAGTTGCGTGCAGGTAACACCTGCTAATGGGTCCGAAGATCATCCACCCCAATCATTGTTGACTGAGGTAATCGATCAAGATGGTCAAGATGAGGATGGTTTTGAAAGTCTTATCAATACTATATTGGAGGGTAAGTTCGAGCTCCTTTTTTACTTTTATTCATGACTAAAGTTATATATAGATCATCATGAAGATGGTCACCGACGTCGTTGACGACGTATTGACGACTGGATTGATGGCAGTGCTCAGTCATCGGATCAACTTAGTGATGAATCATCTGATGAGGAAAGCGATGATAGTGATGATAGCGATTATATAGAATAAACATTTTGATAGTCACATAAGTGATCTCATAAGACCATACACTGCCAAACTCTAGCTTTTTATAGTACATGATAGCGATCCAGCATATATAATAGCCTAATGCACATGTTAAATGGTAACAATCGAGGTCCGCCAAATTTCACGTGACTGGCCAGTAGAATCTCCGAAACGAAATATTCCGATTGATATACATTTCACCGCAGTCACATTGCTGGGGCCTGATATATCAACGTTTAAAGATCCCAATGGTGAGAACATATCTTACCCATTAACCTGCGGACGTCGAATGCAGTCGAGGCTTTCCACCGCACTCTCTATAGGATGGCAAGGAAAAGCGAAAGACCGGAACCAGTGTCGCCAGCTCTTCCTCTTCTTCTTCAAAATGCGGAAGGTGACATCATGGCACTAAGGCTCTTCTACAAACGAGGCGATTTGTTAACCACGTATGATCGTACCTCCACGAAGAGACGATCTAAAAAATTAAAGCAAAGCTATTACGAGCAAAGTGATAGTAGAGCTCCCGATACAAATGACGCCTTATTCCCTGAGCAAAGTACCAAATCAACGAACCGAAAAAGCAAAAAACGAAAGAACATAGGGGAAGAAAGTTTCCCGGTGGAACCATTACTCGAATTGATTGCTGAAGTTGAAGGTGATTAAACTAAGCTCTGTGAGCACGAAGAAGAATTTGCCTCACACAAGGAAACGGAATGTCCTGCGCTGTCATCAACAGATCCTGATGTCCAAAACGCTCTTGACAACCTCTCAAGTATGAGCGAAGAGCTCCCGGAAGCTGTTGAGAAAATCATTGAACCATTAGCATCATTGCAAGGTACGTGAAAAGCATTCATGTATAGGCGTGGATTGGTAAGCTAGTAGATAGTAGATGAACATGATCAACAACTTGCTCCGTTTAAAGACATGTCAGATGATGAGATGCGAGACACTCTTGGCAGGACAATCCGTGCATTGGTATCAGAAGGTAAACTTGTATCGTCAAAGTTTGTGGATATGTAAGCTAATACGCATGTATATGGTGTTCGTGAAGACCTGGATACCCAAAGGATGACCGAAGACGATTTTATCTATTACTCTTGTTTGATAATAGAGCACTCTTTAGAATCACGAGGTAAAATTGATCGTATAACATCTGAATGTGTAAGTTGATCCTGATGCAAACGTTGATTAAGGTATCGACCCTGAAAGCGTAAGCGATGATTACCTTTTTGATGTCATGTATCAGTTGACCGTTTATGGAAAGCTTTTGAAACAAGAAGGTATGATTGGTATTTATTAAGTAAAAACTTGTATGTGTAAGCTAATAACATGTAGGCTATTATGGGCATGGTGATCAAAACCTTGAGGGTACCCGAAGCGTAACGGAGGGAGAAGAAACTTCAAATGACGTTGATACGATAATGGAGGAAGCACGTCCATTGCAAGAAGGTACGTATCTACGCTGTTCTTAAAAAATATGCTGACATGTAAGCTGATTGGAACATTGAATACAGGCCAAGACGATGAAGCCATGAGCATCGACTCTGCTTATGATATGTAGCAGGGATGGTGATGAGATGGAAGCAGAGGCCATCATTGAAGACTATGATCGAATGATGAGAGAAGCAACAACGGAACCAATACTTCCACGGGCCGTCTCGTTTTATGAATTACGCTTGACTCCATGGGAAGATAATTCATGCTGGATCGATGCAGTTGTGGAGACCTTCTGGCATGCGATTATACCTGCTCTGTTGCCGTACGGCATATTGGATGATGAATCTCAAGCGAATAATACCATTGATGCAATGCTGGGGAACACGTACCGATTATCCACAACGAGTTTCGAAGATCGTATTGTTGCATCAGATACCATCCGCAATTATGTATGGTCGACTTTTGGCCCTCCGTTCATAAGAGGACATCAGCTCAACGTGCTGCACTTCTTGACAATATTGCTACAAAAAGCGTCTCCAGCGTTCAACTCCTTCTTCGCTATCAATCGACAAGTCTTGAAGTATTGCAAGGATCAACAATGTCAACGTACCTCTCATGACGATGGTGCTCAAGATCGACGTCAACTCACCATTGTGGATTGGTCATTGCGATATGTGCGTGAATATGGATTGCATGAACGTCCAGACCGCTTTTCAGAAGTGCTTCATGATTATCTCTTCAACGTTCGCGAGCGGAAATGCGATGTATGTAACGGCCCAGCTACCAGAGAAACCGTTAAAAATGGTCGTATGCCTTTGTGCCTTTTTATCATGGACCCACATATCAACCTTGGGGACTCAATGGAATCACCTGATGCCAAAATGTGCTTCCCTTACGAGTTCAGCTTACCCGAAATTGGAGCTACATACACCTTACGTGCAATCATATGCAGCACTCAAAGGCATGGTCACCATTTCAAGACTGTTGCGACTATTCGAGGCACAAATAGCGATTTCCTTGCCGAAATTGACAACCTACAAGACGCCATGAAGATTATGATTGACCAACCTTACTTCAATCCTGCTACCGCTGCTGCTGCATGTCGTTCAGTGACACACCCCATAATCCTTGTATATCTGAAGCAAGTTGCACTGTATGCTGACAACACGGGTGAATACGGCGACGCTGGATTATTCGACGACGACGATGAAAGATGGATGTGCCACCACTAAGCCTATTCTCATTACATTTACATGTAGCATGTTTTCTTGATGCCCACGCGCATATATATATACATAGATGTTTTTAAGTTTTCCATTCATAAAATTGTCCGCTTTCGATTTAGCTTGTCTTTACTGTAGCAAACATACCACAAGAGCTATTTGCTGTTTAATGGAACGAATCGGTTAAAAGTTGATCGATTCACATCTTTTGGCAATACATCATCAAGCAACCATATGCCTGTGCATCAACAAGGTACCATGGTACCCTTAAATAAACCAAGCATCCTGCATACCACAAGTTGCGCGAAGCATCGGCGACAACCATTTTAAAAGGCGTTCGAACCCTTTAGTCAGTAGCGGCTTCGAGTAGTTCACTATAAATTTTATACCAATGCAAAGAGCGGTCTTTTTTTGGCTTTCTTTTAAATCATCGATGCGCTGGGCATTGTTATCATGGATTTTCATAAGAGTTACAGCTGCATAGCTTCATGTGCACAGTTGTGTGTGTTTGGGTAGATGTCTGATGAAGGAAAGATGAATCAATGGTGTATCAATGTAGCGATAAGTGCCATCGGTACATTATGATCGTGTGTAAAGTGATTAATAGAGTAAAAAGGATAGGATTGGGTAATACAACGATTAGTGGAAAGGAGTTAAGGGTTTGTAATTGGGGTTAAATGGTTTTTGTGACTGGCCTAGTGAGTAATGTGAGGGGCACGATAAGATTCAATCAATAAAGAGACTAAGAAGAGTATCTTGGAACTGATGTTTATTAACCTATACCATATCACTACTTATATACTTTCATGCCCATCGGGTAATTACATCATTATCATTGCTATCATTGTCATTGTCATTATCCCTATGTTATTATCCTCGGTGTATAAAGATGTCTCGTATAACAAATAAAGCGACCGATGTTTCAATGCAAGTCTAATTTGGCACTTAGCCTATTGACGTTTACCACAAGTAAAAAGAATAAAGAAGGGTGAAAGTGGATGGAAGGTGTAAAGTTGAATTGAGAAGATCGGATCACCAACGCTAACGGGTGATGATGCCGTTACAGGAATGCTGTACAAGTTGCTTTGGATACAAAGCAAAAAAAAAGTGATGATAATTCAAGGGCTAGCTGTCTTCGACTCCTCGCTTCGCGTGGTTTGATCCCCACGCGTCGCTTCATGTCAAAATCGTCTTTGATAGAAGGTGCAGGGGAAATCCCCCAAACCAAACATGCAACGTATTTTCATCCATCATTCATCATAGCGCACAATAGACTTTATGTGTTGGTGAGAAGCATTCAAATGCTAAAAAAGAAAGGAGCGAGTGATGGGATGTAAGTTGGGAATGATATTGGGCTCATCCTAGCATGTTTGAATCCATGCAATGGATGGCCGAGAAGTTACATCAATGGGATAGGCAGCAAATTTATTGTCCGTGATCAATGCTAAGCTGCCTAAAAGAAAATCCAGACATAGAACAGTCATGGGGGGTGAGTACAGGATTATTCGTCGCACCCCATCTTGGGTTATTCGTGTAAAGTTGTATAACGATTCATCGAATAAACTGCCCATCCCTATGGCTTCCCTATCATATTTCCAGTTGCATCGCTTATCATTCAATCATCCAGCCATTACGAATGACTTCGTTCGTTCCAGTAGGTTACATACCTCGTGTCAGGCCTCAGCAACAATGTTGATGACCACCTTCTCGCTAGCCCGTTACCTACAAAAATAAAAACCATCCTTCAAAAACAAGGTCTACACTTCTCTCTTATCTCCTTGGTAACGCGCCTTGTTTGTCTCCTTGGAAACACGCCTTCTTTGTCGCCTATGACACAGCATTACAAGCTCGATTCTATAACAACCTCGTTCATTCGCTGCCTACATTACGTCCACTGTTATTACATGCTTCACAACAACGTGCTCAAGACAACTCTCAGCATCCAACTACTCACTCGTTTGTTTTAGGGCACGCCAGCTCCAAGGCTGAGCAAGCAATCTTGAAGGACAAGTTCAAAGCTGCCATTCCTTTTTCCAAGCTACATTGCCACCCTTTTCTTCTTGTTTTTCCCCTTCCTTGAATATGTGTATTGCTACAAAGATATATGGTACGTGCTTCTGAGTGCTGGTGGGTAGAATTGAGTAAAAGTGCATTGTCGAAAAATAATAGTATACAGTCGCCATTCACCTTCCAAGCTGTAATGCACGCCATGTATTGTATTGCCAGGCCAATTGCACTTGCGTTATAGCTTCCAATAGTTGTTGCAAAATGATACTTGATAAAGCAAACATGTATGGTCGAAAGAATAATATGAAAGTAGTGTTGTGTGTATGCGTAAAAAATAAGTAGGTGTGTGTAGCAGCAGCAGGGAAGGTTGGGGGAAAAATCAAGCGATTTTTTCGAAGTCCAATCGCTCAGCGGGGTGGGAATGGGTTCAGTGTAGAGTAGGGGGGAATCAAGCGAAAATTTTCTAAGTGCTGCCCGCTCAGCAGGGAGGAATCAAGCGAATTTTTTCTAAGTCCCACCACTCAGTGGCAGATGGATGGATGCAGCGGTGGATGGATGGATGATGGATGCACAAGTTATCCTCAAAAAGTAATAAAATGAATGCCAGCACCTTCAACCTTCCATATCAAGGAAGGGATTTCACTTACAGCTCCTAATCCATGAACACGCACAAAACACTATCGAAAAACCCTTTCAAAACACTATCGAAACACGTTTAACACGAACATTTTCCGCCTGTGTCTCATTAAGGCAAGTTTGACCGCAAGGCTTGAATTTTTCTTCCAAAAAGAGCGGCCTTTCAATTTCACTTTGACCGAAACCTCCAAAGTGCCCCACCCAACATGACCTGCTACCACTCTTTCTTACCCACATTCGCTACAACAAACCCATCAGCCCTACCAGACAACAACATTCACCAGCATTCAGACTCATTCACAACGACATTGGCTCAGATCCGTCATTCAGTTGCCAATTGGGAGCACATGGCAACCACAACAATATACACTTTACTAATAACGCTACCTTGGCAACGCGCCCAGCATGTTTCTTAGGAACACAATACATAGCAGCTTATGATATTTTGAGGCTTGAGGACGATATAGTGATAGATAGTACAGGGATTTAATAGTAGTGTTGGCTCCTGAATGGTATCATGCTATAATAAAAAGTACGCGTCTTCCGAAAACGCGCTCCCTGCACAGCTTTCTGAGCACATACTTTTTTTTACACATATTGAACCTTTGTTATTGACCCAACCAAACCTGAAAGGAACACCTTCAGCTTCGAGTAGCACTGTACTAGATCCGCGATCCTAATTCCGAATCTGGACGTTGCCATTAGCATGTCGTCTTTGATCGCAAACGCAGTTAACGTTATCCGCTCTCAAACAACCGGCGTTGTCAGCGATTATGCACAAGAAAATCCTTACCGGTTTGTTATCAAGCGGGAAGATTTCCATGCTTGGCTCGTGCGTGAAGAGCGCCGCACTTCATGCACGTTCTATTTTTATCCCACGGGCAACGCATTCTACAAGAATAAGGAATTCTTTTACCGCTTTGGTCCTCATGATCCCTTAAACCCAAACCCACGTCCTGGATTTGGTCTATCCCCGGATGAAAAGCGCGAGATGGATGCAAAGAAAGCACGAGAAGGTGTGCCTGATGATGATGAATATGAGGAGGTCAATGGAAGTGGCACAACAACTGCTGGAGTCAAGCATGGTCGTAAGAAAGAGACTAACTATAATGGGGTAAGATGGCATTTGATATTTGTTATGAAACCATCTCGGTGGTATACTGAATGGATATGTAGACCTTTGTATGCAACCGAAGAGGTACCCCAACTGGTGAAAACAACTTGCCATGCAATTGTAAAGCGATGATCAAGGCGACATGCAAGGGGAACGACCTTGCTACTATGACCGTTATTTATCACTGGCAACATGACAATCATGTCCCTGGATCAAATGAAGATCTTGCCGAGGCGCCCATCAGCCGTGAAACACGCCGAATGATTCATGACATGGTGGAAAATGACATGAATTGGACATCTATCAAGAGCGTTTTACGTGTGGATACCAATTCACTTGTTGATATCTTGAATGGTGATAGTACAGGTATTCCTGCTATGCTACGCATTGGCTATAACCAGGTATACTACGCAATGCGTAAATGTATCCGCAAGCGCGCCATGCTTGATACCGAGCTCGAAGAAAGCCTCTTGGAGTGGGATGCCAAACTTGCTGAAGATAGCGGTCTCTCTACGTTCATCTCTTTGGATAACATTCAAATCGGCATGTTCGTATATGCATTCATGCACCAATGCCAGCTTGAGGTATGTGTATGTATTATGCACCTTTAGAGTTACTTAGATTGTAATTTATCATAGATGCTGAAACAAGACGGTTCCATTGTTTGTATGGATGCCACTCACAAAACATGTGTGGATGGCAATGGTGACGAGTGCTTTTTGTACACGTTGGTGGTCCGTTCTGAGAAGACAGGAAGAGGTGCTCCTGTATGTTGGATGATTACCAATTCTAGCATGCATCATCCGGTTGAAGCATGGTTACGCTGGTTGAAAAACGACATGGATTATACGCCAGGCACCATCATGATCGACAACTCTGACGTAGAGATCAAGGCTATCGAACAAAGTTATTGTGATCAATGTCGCATAAACCTTTGCCATTGGCACATCCTTCGTGCATGGCGCAAAAACCTTATATTCAAGCTTACACCAAAATCCAGCAACAAAGCATCTTCTGAGCAAGTGCGAGAACATCGCAATACGGCTTTTAAGCTTATGGTTGATATCATGCAAGCTCCTACCCAACAAAGTTTTCAAGCTGCACTTAAAAAGTTTAACAATTGGGCATACACGATTCGCAACAAATGGGACGCTGATGAACTTATCGATTACTTCGACAACCATTATCTCCCAAAAAAGGAGAAGTGGTGCCGTGCATGGAGAAAGGTAGGCAGCACACTTGATCAATGATG